AGAGGCCTTGTGGGTATCTCCAACATCAGAAGGTGCTCTTTCTACTGAGTGAAACTGTTAGTTGCTCAGTCATGTCTGGCTCTTTGCAACCTCATGGACTGTAGCCGCCCCCAGTCTTCTTTGTCCATGGAATTCTCCAGGCCAGAATCCTGGAGTGGGTAGCTGTTCCCTTCTCCAGGGGATCTTCCCAACCCAGGGATCAAACCTGCATCTCCTATGTCTCCTGCATTGGCAGGGGGTTCCTTTACTCTCTGAACCACCAGGGAAGCCTAGTGGGGGAGTACAATTTTGTCACTGAATCTGCATCAGAGTATTGGGTAAAGATTCCTGAAATTATAAACTTTGGTGATTAGAATGTTGCCTTAAAAAACAAAAAAAAAAAGAACATTGCCTTAAATCCCTACTATTCTTCTGAAGTTTTTTATTTTGTTTGTGTTTTTTAATGTGAGGTTTTCATTGGGTTTAAGCTTTGTGGAACCAAATATTATAAATCCCCAAAAGCCATTTTTAAATACCCACAATTGCTTTCAGCCTACCAGAGACCAGGATTGTCAAAAGAATCATTTTTCCCTATAGTAATCTATAAGGTCAGTGGAAGTCTAATACATTTTTAGTAGGATTTGCTTTTTTAGAGACTAACAAGTTGATTCTAAAATTCAACTGAAAAAATTAATTAATGACAATAGCCAAAAAAGTTTTGTAGAAAGAATAAAAAGGGGAAATTTGTTATAGAATAAAACTCCCCAACACCCCACAATAATAAAAGTGGAATGGTCTTATAACAGGATCATATATTAGTTCAGTAGATTAGTTCATAGATTAGTTCAGTAGAGTCCAGAAACAGATACATGTATATATAAAGTAATCCACCTATTTCTAAGGCCCCATATGACCCAATGTATCTGTAGAATTCTACTCAATGACAACTGAAATCTGATTACAGAAGCCTTGAACATGAAGATCTTTAGTTTTTTTTTTAAAGGAATATATTCAAGGATTTTACCCAGTGCACCTCTAAAATGTTTTTCAGAAATCCTCTCCAAGTAGTCTTCACTCTCCCCAAGTTGCAGACTCTTGGCAGCCCCCTCAAAATCTGCCTCTTTCTGTTCCACCTGGTTTCCTAACTCTAACCTCCCCAACCCCTTCTCCTGCACACCCACCGCCCTCATGTAGCAGCTCTACACCTATTTGTAACCATACTAATAGAGGGCAGCCCTTGAGAAGGGTGGTTCTTGTCCTAGTTTGGCTGCTTTTCTACAAAGCAGGAAGTTCTCATACTTATGGTGACTTAAATTCCCCAGTAGACTCTCAGAATTCTGATAAACAGAAATTCCCAACTTCATTTCTTTAGGAACTTAATGTCTCAAAGCTGACATTTTAAGTAATGGACTAGTCAGTAAAGGATTTGGGGAATTGTTGGCTATCTGCTTGGAAAAAATAAAGTGACATGTCTATATTTTACCAAATAAACACTTTGTAACTATGAGTTTCAGTAGATTAGAATATACATGATTAGATTTGGAACTTATGTATGTTTGTGAATATGTGCGTGCTAAGTCGCTTCAGTCATTACTGACTCTGTGCAGCCCTATCTATGGACTGTAGCCTGCCAGACTTCGCTGTCCATGGAATTCTCCAGGCAAGAATAATGGAGTGCCAGGCCTTCCTTCACGGGATCTTCCTGACTCAGGCATGGAACCCGTCTCTCTTAAAGTCTCCTGCATTGGCAGGTGGGTCTTTACCACCAGCGCCACCTGGGAAGCCCATGTTTGTGTATATACAGGGGCAGTTATGGAAGTTTACCTCTAAGATTTGGGGTTGAAAAGTGAGAGAGACTTCTATTTTATATATTTCCGATTGTTTTAAAGTTCTTTTATAACAAATTGTGTTACATTGGTAATGAGAAACAAAGTAGTGGATTTTGCTGGTGGTCCAGTGGTTAAGAATCCTCTTGCCAATGCAGGGGACACCAGTTTGATCCCTGGTCCAGGAAGATTCCACATGCCTCGAAGCGACTAAGCCCATGTGCCATAGCTATTGAAGTCCATGCATCTAGAGCTTTTGCTTAGCAATAGGAGAAACCACTGCAATGAGAAGCCTGCCCGCTACCAGGAAAAGTAGCCCCTGCTCACTGCAACGAGAAGAAGTCTTCGCAGTTACAAAGACTCAGTTCAGCCTTAAATAAATAAAAGAAATAATTAAAAAAATAATAGTATAAGAAGCTTTTAGATAGTTTCTTTTTGAAAAAGCATCATTTCATAATGTATACAGATGCAAAACCACTGTACTAGGTATCCTACTTTTATTATAAAATATCATTCCCAGATTTTTTTTTCCATTAAAAGAAAAAAGAAAACCTTAAGTGTTAGCCTTGTCTGGATAGTTATTGAAAGTAGTAGCCCTTGATGATTTATTGTTTAACAACTTTGTGGTTTCTCCTGGGTCTTAGATCAGACATGTGGTCAAAGAATAGGAGAAGTTACCTGTTTTCATAGCTGTGACTGGGGTCCAAAACAGGAGCATGGAAATGAGTAAGAAGAGAAATGCCAGCCTAGAGGAGAGAGTATTCACATAACACCCGGGAGCTTTTGTGATGTTCGTTTTTAACCCTAAATGAGTATGAGTGTTATCTGGCTCAGATATTCGCCTTGCTCTTATAGTGAGTTGTCGGGGCTGGGCTGAGTCCCAAAGGGCACCCCAGAATTTCCTCTGTTTTCATCATATATCAAGATTGGCTTGGGATGAAAGGTGCTTTCATGACATCAGTATGAAAGTGTAAAAGTGAAAGTATTAGTCGCTCAGTCTTGTATCCTCTCTCCATGGGATTCTCCAGGCAAGAATACTGGAGTGGGTAACCATTCCCTTCTCCAGCGGATCTTCCCAACCCAGGGATCGAACCTGGGTCTCCTGCACTGCAGGCAGATATTTTACCATTTGAGCCATCAAGGAAGTCCCATGGAGGGACTTCCATGGAGGAAGAGTTTGAAGAATTCTTTGAAATTATCTCCTTTTACTCACTTGTACAGCTGATAAAACTGAGGCCCAGAGGGATAAAATGATTGCCATAGGTAATGATAGTGACATTTTAAACGCAATTCTATGGAATAATGGAAAGGAAGAACTTTTTCACTTGAGTCTTAAAAGTATCAGCAAACAAAAAAAGGTGCAGCCCTCCAGCCACTCAGCCCTCAGCCACTACTCCCGCCCCTTGGTGAGCTTGAGGGAACTCAAGAGGGGGACCAACAGGCTGCAGGCTGCCCACGGCCCCTGACCACTGCAGCTGCCCCCAAAGGTGCACCCCGAGGGGACTCAGGAGAAGAAGGAACCAGATACTGGTCCCAGATAGCTAAGGTGCATATCAAAGGAATGACTTTAGTGAGTCCAGATTTGTTTTTTCCTTGTGTGGAAAAGTGCCAAATCCATTACCTTGAGATGTCTGTGTTTTCTCTCTCCCTCTCTTTTTAAAAACTTTTATATAGTATAGTTGCTTTACAATGTTGTGTTAGTTTTGGCTGTATAGCAAAAAGAATCACCCATACGTATACATATATTCCCTCTTTTTTGGATTTCCTTCCCCTTTAGGGCGTCATGAAGGACTGAGTGGAGTTCCCTGTAGTATACAGTCGGTTCTCATTAGTTACGTATTTTATACATAGAAGTGTATGTATATCAATCCCAGTATCCCAGTACATCCCACCAACCCTTCCCCTTTGTCGTCCATACATGTATTCTCTATGTCTGTGTCTCTATTCATACTCTGGAAATTTAAGTTCATCTGTACCATTTTTCAAGATTCCACATATAAGTGATCTTATAGGATATTTGTTTCTCTCTTTCTGACTTACTTCACACTGTATGACAGTCTCTAGGTCTGTCCATGGTTTTCTTTAGTTAATAGTAATCCTTTGATGTTGTGACCACCTTGACTTTGTTGCAAAAATTCCTGTATATCCTGGTTCCTCCCTTCCCTCTTCAGAGCAGTCCCTTGGAGCTATCTGCAAGGATGCTCCTGGGCTTCATGTCTTAAGAAAGTCCCTAAAATATAAAACATAACTCTCAACTTTTAGGTTGTGCAGTTCATTTCAGTCAACAAAAGAGAGAACATATTTTTGGACAGGAAAGGTCTCCCCTCTTAAAATTCAGAAGAGGCACAGAACTGTTGTGGGAACTACCATGCCCCCAACCCCCGCCCACCCCGGGCCAGACATTGCTAATCAACCCCAGCTCGCTTCCATCAGCTGGACTCTGACCCAGCCTGAGATTCCTAGGCATCCACTATAACAGATCTGAATTGCCATGTAAATTAAAATATTTTGGGCCCCTCTTCTAAATGATGCATCTGTGTGATTCATGGTGTGGTAAATGCACCGTAGTTCAAGCCAGAAGAACCTAGTTTGACCCCTAAATGTGCTTGTTTCTAGCTCTGTGACACCATCTAAGTCCTTTAGTCTTTCTGGCTGGAACGGTTTTCTTGTCTCTGAAATGAGGGAGTTGAAGTAACTTTTAAGCATTTTTCTACCTCTGAAAAATGTTCTGATTCAAGGTTTGTAGACTTCCCAGGAAGAATTTATACTTACAACCATGTATTTTTTATAAAGACCGGAGGTGGTTCTCAGGTACTTTGTATATTACGAATCTATTTCGGATTCCTTAAGTCTTCAGTTCCTTGCTTTATCTGACTACTTCCTTCCATCTGCTGTGTCACTGACCCATATCTGTGAAACCAGAATTTAGATATTCAACTGGAAGAGATGAGGAAAGAGTCATTTAAAACCAGAGGAATTTCGGGACCCTCTTTGTCGTGGAAGACTTGAATGTTTTCACTCATCAGGCCGATCTAACCTGCATGTGTCCTGCCCACTCAGCCTCCCCCATTTATACCCGCTTGTGAACAGGAGGCTCTGCCAGGCAGACGGGTCTCAGTGTGGGTCCTCTGAGATCTCTGGCCCCCCTTTCTCTCCCCTGCCCCTATGTGACCCACCTCCCTGTTTGTCTTCCAGGCCCCGCTTCCCTCCGGGCATATCCTCTCCTCTCGGTGATCACCCGACAGCCCACGGTCATCTCCCATCTGGTCCCCACCACCCCGGGAATTGCCCAGGCTCTGTCCCGCCACCCGGCCGCTGAAGCTGCCTCTGCGGAGGCCCCAGGTGAGAACCACGGCAGCAGTGAGTCTGAGACGGAGCAGCCCACGCCCCGGCAGAAAAAGCCCCGCCGGAGTCGCACCATCTTCACCGAGCTGCAGCTCATGGGCCTGGAGAAGAAGTTTCAGAAGCAGAAGTACTTGTCCACCCCAGACAGGTGAGGACACGGGGAAGGGACTGTTCCAGGTAAGGCCCTTGAGAAGGGAGACTCTTTTTGCTCTCATTGTGGCGCAGAGAGCCACAGGGACTGTTCTAGGGTTTGTGCAGGGCACTAGGGCAGGAGTCTGTCCCTGTCTTGGCTCATGTAATCTCAGCCTTGGTTAAGGAAAATCCAGCCCACCTGAGGGCTTCCCAGGTGGTGCAGTGGTAAAGAATCCTCCTGCCAATGCAGGAGATGCAAGAGACCCAGGTTTGATCCCTGGGTGGGGGAAATCCCCTCGAGTAGGAAATGGTCAACTTGTTCCAGTATTCTTGCCTGGAAAATTCCACAGACAGAGGAGCCTGGTGGGCTACTTACAGTCCATGGGGTTGCAGAAGAGTCAGACACGACTGAGCCATTAAGCACAAACATAGCTCACCTGAATTCATCATACTTAGCCCCAGAAGCCTGCCTGATGTGAAGTTTTACTCCTCACTGCATCTCTGTATGTTAACTACTACAGTACAACAAGCATGGTGAAAGTGAAAGTCTCTCAGTTGTGTCCGACTCTTTGTGACCCCATGGACTATACAGACCATGGAACTCTCCAGGCCTGAATACTGGAGTGGGTAGTCCTTCCCTCCTCCAGGGGATCTTCCTAACCCAGGGATCAAACCCAGGTCTTCCACATTGCAGGCAGATTCTTTACCAGCTGAGCCACACGGGAAGCCCAGCAAGCTCGTTTACCATACAACAAGCATGGTAGAGCTTAGCAAATGGTTGCCCAGGTGCTCAGCGGGGAAACAGATTTGGCGTTTAAAACCACTGACACTTAGGATCAGATGCACTGGGACTAGACCTGGAGTTGAGGTCCATGATCTTCCTAGGCTTCTCCCCACCCACTAACCCCCAACTGGCTCAGCAGGCGCATCTGGCTCCTGCATGGCAGCCTGGATTAATGGGGCTGTGGAGCTGTCAGATATCCTGATGGACTTGACAGGTAGCGAGTCAGAACCATTTGGCTGAGACCAAGGAGGACCTGGATGAAGGTCTCTTCTTTAAGCCCTTTTGAGATCTCAGTGAAGGTCGCTGTGACCCCTGCTTTACTCAGAGGCTTCTGTACCTCCCCACTTTCTTTAATTTAGCATCTTGGCAAAGAAATATGCTGCAAGAGTGTGTGTTCTACCTTGTTCTTTCAAACTCACTCTGGAATGACTGGCCTAATGTGTGACCCTGTTTATTGGAAGTATTTTCCAGGTACTTTTTCTCTTTCTTTGCTTACTGCTTTGTCCATTTCAGGTCTGACCCTATTAAAGAGAAGGAAAGGAAACTCAAAGGCATCTCAAGCTGTTTATTAGCTGCTCAATAAAAATTTGAGACAGGAGCCTGCAAGTCATTGACTAAAAGGGAATTTGTTTACTGATTCAGTTAGTTGAGCTCCCAGCAGCTGTGTGTAAGGCACTGTGGCAGGGATTATGGGTCCAGAAGATAGCAGAAAAGAGACCTGCTCTAAAGGAGGTCACAGGGAAGGACGTGGCTGCGGTAACCACATCATGACTTGGGGTGTGGATGCCAACATGTTCCCAAAGGCTCCAGGAGCACAAAGGTATTGCTGATTGTGTCCGGTGGCAGCCAGGAAGCCTTCTCAGAGGAGGCAGCACTTCAGAAGCACTTTGATCCCAGGAGGGAGAGGGCATCCCACAGAGGGAAACAACATGCAAAAGGCACAGAGGTGCTGCTGGGCATGCTGAGGGCCCTGCAGGTGGTCGGGCATCTCCAGCTTCGGGGGGAGGGGGGTGTGGGGGGAGATGAGGCTGCAGAGATGGGAAGGACCCTGTATGTCTGACCAAAAGATGTGAACTTTGTCGTGCAGGCTGTGTGTCAGCAGCCGTGAAGAGCTGCAAGTGCTGTGGCCAGATTTACGTTTTATTTTTTTAAATTTTTGTTTATTAAAAAAATTTAGGCCATGCCCTATAGCATGTGGGATTTTAGTTCCTTGATCAGGAAGCAAACTTGGGCCCCCTCCATTGGGAGCATGGAGTCTTAACCACAGGACTAGCAGGGAAGTTCTGAGATTTACATCTTGGAATCCTCATATTGGTAGCCCCATAAGCAACAGAGAAGAGTGAGAAGAGATGGAGCAGGGAAAGCAGGTGGACAGAGTCCAGGGAGGGTCATTGAAGACTTGAATTAAGGTGGAGACAGAACAGAGATGAGAGAATAGATCGGAGACCTGTTCTGAAGCCGGAACAGACAGAATTTCCATTGGCATGAGGCAGAGAGTGGAGAATTCTGTGGCTTCTACATGGGCCACCAGGAAAAGAGGGAGAAGCATTAATTGAAGCTGGAAGGCAGAGGGCAGAGTGAGTTTGGTGAGGAAAGAGCACGTTATTTTGGACATGTGTAATTTGGGGCACCTTCAGGCAGAGGATGGAGGCAGTTCTGTGACTTGGGGGTTAATAGATGAGATCTCTGGGCTTCCCTGGTGGCTCAGATGGTAAAGAATCCACCTGCAATGAAGGAGACCTGGATTCTATCCCTGGGTTGAGAAGATGCCCTGGAGAAGGGAATGGGTACCCACTCCAGTATTCTTGCCTGGAAAATCCCATGGACAGAGAGGCCTGACGGGCTACAGTCCATAGGGTTGCAAAGAGTCAGATACAATTAAGTGACTAAGCACACATGTGTGCGCGCGCGCGCGCGCACACACACACACACACACGGTGTTCTGCTATTCTGATGCCCCCAGTGTAAGGAAGCGCCTCCTGTACTCAACACACATGGAGTAGAGGAGGTGGAGTGGGCATCTGGATTTATGAATCAGCACACTCAAGATGACATTCTAGGCTTATTTTAGAAGTCAGAGAATTTTTTTTAGCAGAAACGTTACTTCCAAATCAACCTCCCGGGGCTTCCTGCTACCTGCCCAGGCACCTCTCAGGTGAGCTTGATTCACTTGCCTGCAGAGGAGGACCATCTGGCTGGCGTGGAGGCTGCTGCCCGAGCTGCCCCGCCAGCTGTTCCTCACCTCGTACGTGACCGGGGCCATGAGCACGCCTCCTCCCACGGCGCACACCCTCTTCCCCTGTGTTTGTTTCTCCAGTCTCCTAGGTGACCCCATTGAAGCGAATTTGCGCAGCGAAGTGAGAATCTGTAACCGCGGCAGGTAATGAGAGAGAGCTGATGACAGCGAAGTGTGTTTCTGTGGCCAGCATGAGTCAGGAGTGCATTTTTCCCAAGTGAGCTCATCCTGGTTGGCCAGTGCCGTGGCAGAGCTGTGAACTGATCCTTCCATTCACTGATGCACCTGACGGCCTTAGGTGAACTGGCCAGGAAGGCTGTGGGGAGGGGGAAGCCCTCTGCCTCCAGGGAGGTCTGGGAGACCCATGGGATGGCCCTCCCGGGCTCTTGGTGTTTAAATGAATAGCTATCTGGGATGCCAAATTATGGCCAGAAAGGTTATGGTGCAGAATTTACCTATGCCCCCCAAAGAGCTATCCAGAGATACCATGAACTGCTATATGGTTGTTAAAAACACTATTGCTTATGCTGTACCCACTGGGTGACAGACACTGTTAGGTGCTTTACATTAGCAGTTCTCAAAGGGTTTGGTCTTGGGACACTTTTACATTCCTAAAAATTTTTGAGCCCCCCCCCCCGCCCAGAGAACTTTTGTTGGTTAAACTATTGATATTTACCAAATTAAGTATTAAAGTTGAGAAAGTTCAAAAATATTTAGTTATTCATTACGGGGTAACAATATTAGGCCTATCACATTAATATAAATGTCAATTTTTAAATTAAAAAACATTTTCAAAAGAGTGAGAAAAAATGGTCTTATTTTCACTTTTTCAATTTTATGTCTACCTTAATAGAAAAAGTTTAGATTCTCATATGTGCTTCTTGGGCTTCCCAAGTTGTGCCAGTGGTAAAGAATCTACCTGCTAATGCAGGGGACACAAAGGGTGCAGGTTCAATCCCTGGATCAGGAAGATCCCCCGGAGAAGGAAATGGCAACCCACTCCAGTACTTCTTGCCTGGAAAATTCTATGGACAGAGGAGCTTGGTGGGCTACAGTCCATGGGGTCTCTGAGTCGGATACGACTGAGCACGCATACACACCTGGGATCTAGGGCTTCATTAGTGGGGAGGGTGAGGACTGCTAGCACTAGGAATTTATTGGCTTCAGTCTGTTAATGACTTTCAATAAAACTGTCAGCTTACAGTAGCCCTTTTACTGGGCAGCAGATAGGTGTGAATGGGGATTGAAGCCAGGAGCTGAAGTCCTTGACGGAAAATGGTTTTTATTATTGGAGATTAAATTGGGCACTCTGGTCCAAGCAGGGAGTCTGAGAAGTGCGCCTGGCACTCCAGGAGCCACACCTGGAACCTTCACTCCTGTCCCACTGGTCTTCCTGATGGTGAGGTGTGTCACTTGTTACTCCTCAGGTAGAGAAAGTTGAAGCTGAGGTGCTGTGCTTAGTCTCTCAATCGTGTCTGACTCTTTGTGACCCGTGGACTGTAGCCAGCCAGGCTCCTCTGTCCATGGGCATTCTCCAGGCAAGAATACTGGAGTGGGTTGCCATGCCCTCCTCCACGGGATCTTCCAACCCAGGGATCGAACCCAGGTCTCCCGCATTGTAGGCAGATTCTTTACCAGATGAGCTACCAGGGAAGCCCCAGGGAAGCTTGGGTGCAGCTGTGGATGTGTACCTAAGTCCCCGTGGCCCAGGCTGGTGGTTCTGCAGGCTACAGAGAAATGTCAGACCATCCTTAGCCGTGGAATGGGGAGCAGGAGGGGTACGGATGTAATGTTCCTTTTGGAATCTGGCATCATAACAGTTGAGGGCAGGGATGGAGGATGAGTCAACCTGTCAAAACGTATTTTTGAACCTTTGTTCTTGATGTAGAATGCGGTAAGCACGTTGGTGATTGTGAAAGAAGCAAGCAGTGAAGTTAGGGAGGCAGAAATAACCCATGAGAAGCAGAGACCAGTGAGAACTCAGAGCCCCTGGGGTGAGAAGTGACCTGTGCAGAGGAAGCAACCTTCAAGGGGGTGTGGCGAGATAGCAGGGCCGGGGGAGGGTGTGGCGGGGGGCTCACCCCCCTGAAAAATGCGACTTTACCTTTCCTCCCTAATTTGGATTTGGAGTCAGAGTGTTCATTTTATGCAGGTTCAGAGAAAAGAGTCTGTCTGGTCAAGGAGAGGACTTTGCAGTGAAGGCTCAGAAATTCTTTTCAGGTTCAATGTAGACAGTTCTTAGGTTTGGGCATCTATTTCTTAGCTTCAAGAGTTTTCTCCATAGGATTCTGGGAAGGAAAGCAGAGCTCTTTGGGAGGAACTTTTAAGGGGGAGGTCCACGTGTTGGTAACAGGCCCCCACCTCTGCTGCCCCTTCCCCTCTTCCTCATCCTCCCCCTTTCTCTCGTGCTTTCTAGGTTGGACTTGGCCCAGTCTCTGGGACTCACTCAACTGCAGGTGAAGACCTGGTACCAGAACCGCAGGATGAAATGGAAAAAAATGGTAAGAAAGAGAGTAAGTCCTAACCACAGGCCCATCATGATGGGAAAAATTCTTACTACAGGGCTGGTGAAGTAGGCAGGAAGGACCCTTTGGGGGGTCGAGCTCCAGAGATTGGAAGGCCTTTTATGATGTTGGCTGGGAGGGAGGCCGTTTGAACAAAAGGTTAAGCAATTCTTTCTGACTCGGATTTCCTGACCAGAAGGATATTCTTTTTCACAGTTTCATTGGAAATAAAAGAAAAAGAAAGGCTCCAGGCTTGTCAGTTGCTGCTTTTAACCCCACCTGCTAGCCTTTTCAAAGAACTTCCTTCCCACTCCCACCAATAGCTAAGAATAGAAGTCAGTCCTCTGTATTTTTAGAGGACATACAGGGTGCACCTGCTCTTGTAGCTGTGTGTCTTCTGACACAGGGATTCTCGACTCCAGTGGGCATCAGAGGAACCTGGGTGGCAGGTATGAATGCAGAACTCAAGGCCCTTCCTAAGATTCTGCTTTGCTGGCTCAAGGCAAGGCATGTTAACTAGCACCCAGGTTCCTCTGATGCACATGGTATAGTGACTCTGGTTTCCCAAATACCACTCTAGTGCCTTACAGATGAGCCGTTCCCTATTTAGTTTTTAAATGAACTTATATAGCAAGAGAAGGGGAAAATGTGGAAGCAGTGACAGATTTTATTTTCTTGGGCTCCAAAATCACTGTGGACAGTGGCTATAGCCACGAAATTAAAAGACGCTTGCTCCTTGGAAGAAAGCTATGGAAAACCTAGACAGCATATTAAAAAACAGAGATAACACTTTGTTGATAAAGGTCCATATAGTCAAAGCTATGGTTTTTTCAGTAGTCATGTACGGATATAAGAGCTGAACCATAAAGAAGGTAGAGCGCCGAAGAACTGATGCTTTAGAATTGTGGTGTTGGAGAAGACTCTTGAAAGTCCCTTGAACTGCAAGGGGATCAAACCAGTCAGTCCTAAAGGAAATCAGTCTTGAATATTCACTGGAAGGACTGATGCTGAAGCTGAAACTCCAATACTTTGGCCACCTGATGTGAAGAGTCGGCTCTTTGGAAAAGACCCTGATGCTGGGAAGACTGAAGGCAAACGGAGAAAGGGCAGTTGAAGATGAGATAGTTACATAGCATCACCGATTCAATGGATATGCATTTGATCAAACTCTGTGAGATGCGGAAGGAAAGAGAAGCCTGGCATGCTGCAGTCCATGGGGTTGCACAAAGTTGGACTCGACTTAGTGACTGAACCAACAAATTAGTGTAAACATCTCTTTAAAAAAGAAACATCTCTGCATTTTAAGGAACTCATTTCATAATGGTTTAGCCTGCTCTCTTTTTCTTATTAAAAAAAAAAGCAACAGTTAAATCCAGATTTTCCAAAGCAGTTGTCTCACTTCCAGTTTTGAAAACTCCAGGGGTCAAAGTCAAAGCCCAGAGAAAATAGGAGGGTTGAGAAGAGAGTGGGAAGAAACCTTTGACCCAGGCCTTTCCATGTTCTCGCTGGGTTTCTGGGCCCCTCTCCTGTCCTGTGGACCGAACATCTCAGGCCTGCCTGCATGATGTCCTAATTGCTAAGCTATCTGGTCACAAGCCTTGGTGTCTCAAGGGCTGGTGTATGAATTTTCTACAATGACCAAATAACTAAGACCCCCTTCCCCTGCACCAGCCACCTAGTTTTCAGAAACAAAAAAAGTTAATAGGCACTTTTTGATAATGGGTAATAGATTTTGAGTTTTCTCCATTTTGTGTTTTTATCCAATGTATCTATTTTTTTCTCTGAAAACTTTGGTTCTTGCTATTGCCTGCTAACAGGCTTCCAAATGGCGCTAGTGGTAAAGAACCAGCCTGCCAGTGCAGCAGACATAAGAGATGTAGGTTTGATCCCAGGGTCAGGAAGATACCCTGGAGGAGGAAATGGAAACCAAGTCCAGTATTCTTGCCTGGAAAATTCCATGGACAGAGGAGCCTGATGGGCTGCGGTTCATGGGGTCGCAAAGAGTCAGACATGACTGAGCGCCCACAAGCAAGAGGCCAGAGGAGAAGTGAAATATTGGGACAGCTTGCAGGGAGAAGTTGAAATGGAAAGATAAATAAGATTCAATTAAACGTGTTGCTTCTCCCCAACTTCTAGAATGCTCAGACACCCATGGAGCCTTTCAGGGGACTGATCTCTAAGGGAACCAGATCTGGGACTTGGAAACACTGGGCTGTGTTTCCAGGCGTGCCCCTCCCTGGTTGGCTTTGGGCAAGTCTCTTCTCTGCTTTCTGTGCAAGTTCCACCACCCACCTCCTTCCCCGTCCCATCATCGTCATCAAAATTGATGTCTCCTGAGTGGCAGAGGCATTGTTTGAGTTGGTTATCAGCGATCTTTTCGTGAGTCACACGATGGAGGCACTGACAGCCCGCTGGCTCTGCCAGCACCGCCCAGTGCCCGTGGGGAACACATGTGCCCCTGCCGTTGACGTCAGCTGTTTTCCACCAGCCTCTGCACTGCTGGCACAGCCGCAGGCCGCGTGTTGATGGTTATCAGTGTCATAGAAAACAAAATGGAAGTAACTGCACAGATTTAAATCTCCAAGCAGTCCACAAGTCAGCTGAATGCAGGCCCCTTCCGGAAATTCGAGTCCACTTCATTTCACCTTATGAGCAGTTACTTTTCACCAGGCAGTAGAGATGTGGCTATAAGACACCAGTTGTTGTTGTTGTTCAGTTGCTAAGTTGTGTCCTACTCTTTGCGACCCTGTGGACTGCAGCACACCAGGCTTCCCTGTCCTTCAGTATCTCCCGTAGTTTGCTCAAATTCATGCCCATTGTGTTGGTGATACCATTCAACCATCTCATCCTCTGTTGCCCGCTTCTGTTGCCTCCTACCCTCAATCTTTCCCAGCATTAATGTCTTTTCCAATGAGTAAGATACCAGGCCATCCATTAAAAAAAATTCAAAAAAGGTACTCAGTCAGTGGGGGTAGCTGACCTGTAATTCGCTCATTATTCAGAGTGATCAGGGCAACAGTGGAAGGAAATAAAAGGTTCAGCATCAGTAGGAGAAGGGAGGGCTTCCTGGAAGAGGTGCCGTCTAAGTTGGGTTTAATGGATGAATAGACACCTGCCAGATGAAGTTGAAAGGGCGTCACAGGCTGAAGGAAGGAGCAGAAGCATGTAGGGGCACTGCAAGGACCTCAGAACAGCTGGAGTCAAGAGGAGAACAAGTAGCTCAGGCGTGGGTCACGTTCTGACTCTCCCAAAACAGCGAGGCATTGTTGGGATCCTGATTGCTTCATAGTTTCCCCTGGTAAAACTTTCAAGGCTGTCTCGTCAAGGACAGGGGAAGAAAAGAATAATTGAGCAATAAAGATGTCTCAAGGCAAGTAACCTCAGTGGAACTGGAAAAAGATTAGCATTCGCTTCTCAGAGTTACTCACATGCTGCCAGAACCGAGATAGCATCTCTGACTAGTTTTTACCAGTCAGCGTGTAGAACCTTTAGCAGGTTGGGTAAATGTGGTCTCCCACATTCGGTGGGATGCTCACCCTCCCTCTGTGTCTGCTTGGCTTGGGTTCCAGTGGGGTCCAGTGGGCTTCGTAGCGGGCCAGAAGTCCCTCATCATTCAGGAGTACTTTTCATCTCCAAAGTAGGGTTCTGTTCTGTGAGAGGGTCCAAATGGTTGGTATCTTCCTCTCCCAGTCACAGAACTGGGTGGGCCACATACCACGCACAGCGGTCATCTTGTGCACTGAAAGTCTCCAGCTGGTCAACAATTCTGTGAAACTGCTACCGGTTTCTACCTATGTAATTGTGGGCAAGCGCCTGTTTCCTCATCAGTAAATGTCTGATGTCCACCTTACAGGGATGCAGATGAGGTCAGTGAGCCAATCTGAGCCAGTCCCTGTAGGACTCAGAACGGTGTCTGCCCCATAGGATACAGTCAGGAAGTGTTAGCTGCTGTTTGTCTCGGTGTGTTTTTTTTTTTTTTTTAAACTTCTTTACCCATCCACAAAATTCATGTCTCTAGAAAATCTAAACTTTTGGTGGCCAGGAGAGATAATCTGAAAATGAGTTCTGCAAGCTTCCGGGATGCTGATTAAGAGAGTCAGGTGTTTTTCTGCATCCTCCCCACTTCCAAGCCTTCCCCAGTCTGTTGGTGCTTTAGCATTCAGGCTTGAGTTGAGTGGAACATCCCATCTTCTGGCAGAAAATCTGCTTAACAGTGAGCTGGGGAAATATCTGTGCTGGAGATGGTGAACGCCTCAGTTTCAGAGAAATAGCATCAGGTCCATGGCTCTCCGGACTTCCTTGGTGGCTCCATGGTAAAGAATTCACCTGCCAATGCAAGAGATGCAGGTTCGATCCTTGGTTCAGGAATATCCCCTGGAGAAGGAAATGGCAACCCACACTAGTATTCTTGCCTGGGAAATCCCATGGACAGAGGCGCCTGGTGAGCTGCAATCCATGGGGTTGCAAAGAGTCAGACACGACTGAAGAAACTGATCAACAACATGGCTCTCATCATTCCCATAGAGCTGCAGGTAGAGAGAGGGAGCAAAGAGGCAGTGGGTTAATGAGTCCATGGACTAGGATCTCTTGGGAGGTTAGGAGGTCGGTAAGATGAATGTGGTAGAAATATCAGTTGAACCCTTCCCTTGCACATTACGTGCAATGAAATACTAATATGAGTGTTAGATTCAGACAATTGAGGTTTTGTGTTCAAATCCCAGCTCTGCCTTGGGTTGCTTTTTCACAATGACAAACCACTTCTGCCTGAAAAGTGAGGGAGGTAGAAGGTTCCTCTCTGCACTGACAGCTGGGCCCTCCCGTCAATGTGCCCATCACCCGCCCACCTGTGCAGGTTGAGAAGGAAGGTCCTGACATCCCCAGCAGGAGGGCACGGGAGAATCTAGTTTTAGAGTTTGGAGGAAGGCTGCCAGCGGGCCAGGTTAATAAAAGTAGGTGGTGTGCTGGGTGTTTTTACCAGAGGCATGTGACCTCACGTGCAACCGATTGCCTGGCCTCTCTGGATGAAGGAAAGTAAATTGGCTCCAGAGATGCCTAGGGAGGAGGGGTCCTGAGAGAAGGGCCGCAGAGTGCATGTGAGTGTGTAGTCCTAGCGTGGGGTGGTTGCGAGATAATTGCATGTCTCAGGTGTGCTGGGAGGCAGGGGCCAGAGGTCAGGTGCAGAAAGCAGCCAAGAGTGTAGTTATATCCTAATTATTGCTTGTGCTGGAATGTTTTATTCCATTTAGAAAATGGTCTGATTGTTTTGATTTTTTTTTCTTCATGCTGTAGGAAAACAGCCAGGTGGGGTCTAGCCAAGCTGTGTGGGTGGTGTTCCCTAATTGCTGGGCTGGACTTTCTTTTGCCAGTTAGGTGGCTTCCTTAGACCTGCTCTTTTATAACTTGATTACTACATGGGGCAACTCAATTTTGTATAAGCTCTTTCATACTGAGTGGAGCTGCTTTCAACATGTCAATTTCATCTTGGCACATTCGGGTGCTTTCAACAGCCTGTGCTCACATTGAAACAAAAATCAGAAAAGGAATATGAAAAGGAATATAGAGATGTCTTTTCCCCAGAGATTGATTCTGTCAGCATCTCTATCTTTTTAGAAGTCACCTTCACATATCTGTGTTAGCTGTTTGGGTTGAAAGTACAGTGGCTGAGTAGATGCCCAGCTAAATGGAGGTGTTTAGTGCAAATTTATGGTTTTCCTTATACCGTAAGCAAAAGTTAACTCAAAAGGAATCATAAGCCTAACTGTAAACATTAAAACTATGAAACTCCTATGGCTGATTCATGATGAGGTTTGACAGAAAACAACAAAATTCTGTAAAGCAATTATCCTTCAATTAAAAAATAGATTAAAAAAAGTTATGAAACTCAGAGGGAGGGGACATACATATACCTGTTGCTGATTTATGCTGATATATGGCAGAAACAACACAATATTCTAAAGCAATTTTCCTCCAATTAAATTTAAATATTAAAAAAGGAAAAAGGAACTATGAAATCCTTAGAAGAAAATATTTTCTTTTAGAGTAAATGTTTATGACCCTGGGTTAGGCAAAACCTTTTTAGATAAGATACCAAAAGCACAAGCAATAGCAACAAAATTGGACTTCATGAAAACTAAAAACTTTTGTTCTGTTGAAGGACATCATCAACAAAGTGAAAAGGTGGGACTTCACTTCTTATTTTCCAGGGGTTAAGAATCTGCCATGCAGCGTAGGGGATATGGGTTCAATCCTTAGTCAGGGAACTAAGATCCCACATGCCAAGGAGCAATGCAGCCAATAAATAAATAAACATTTTTAGAAAGGACGTGAAAAGGCAACACAGAACTAGAGAATATATTTGTAAATCTTCTACCTGATAAGGGGCTTTCATCCAACTATTAGTATTAATAGAGAACTTATAACTCAGTAATTAAAAAAGACAACCCCATTTTTAAATAGACAAAGGATTTGAATAGATACTTCTGCAAGGAAAATATACAACTGGCCCATAAACACATGAGAAGATGCTCAACTTCAGTAATTATCAGGGATGTACAAATCAAAACCACAGTGAAATACAACTTTACAACCGTTAGGATGGCTGGAATAAAAAAGACAGGTAATAACAAGTATTGGGACTTCCCTCTGGTCCAGTGGTTAAGATTTAACCTTCCAATGCAAGGAGTGCAGATTCCATCCCTGGCTGGAGAACTAAAATCCTACATGCCTTGAGGCCAAACCAAAACAAAACATAAAACAAAAGCAATATTGTAACAAATTCAATGAAGACTTTAAAAATGGTCCACATCAAAACAGCCCTTAAAAAAATGAGTTTTGCAGAGGATGTGGAGCACTGGAGCCCTCACATACTGCTGATTGGAATGTAACATAGTGCTCCTGCTTTAAGGGAACAGTCTGGAAATTCCTCAGTCTTGGACTTCCCCTGTGGCTCAGATGGTAAAGAATCTGCCAGCAATGCGGGAGACCCAGTTTCTATCCCTGGGTCTGGAAGATCCCCTGGAGAAGGGAATGGCAACCCACTCCAGTATTCTTGCCTGGAGAATCCCATGGGCAGAGGAGCTGCTGGGTTGCTGTCCATAGGATTGCAAACAGTTGGACACAGCTAACGTGCCTTACCACACACGTGTGCATTGCTGTTTTATAGAATAGGAAACTGAGTCCCAGAGTCTTCAAAGGACTCTCCCAAAAACAAAGTAGACAAGGGACACAGTTGGTATTTAATCTAGTTATTCTACTTTCAAAACAAGAATACACTCTCTCCTATGTGTTACTGCTTCTTCAAACAACATAAAACTGTATGTTTCATGATATCTCCTTTTCTGATTACAAAAATACTTATACATGATCATTATCGAAAATTAAAAAATACATAAAAAAAGAAAAAGAATTGAAATTATCCTTGATCTGGAGACTACAAGAAGGGTAGTGTGTAGCTGTCTAGCCACCAAATTAAATTATGCTGGTTTAGAACCCATTTTCACAAAAATGTATTAATATTTCCCATGTTATTATATGTTCTCCTATATAACGATTATAATGGTTGTTAAGTTTTCTCTCTTTGCCGTATACTATAATTATGGACTCCGTTATATGGTGGAAACTTTAGAGTATGTTTTTTTTGCTGTTGTTGCCAATTTTGTGATGAACATTTTTGCACATTAATCATTGTCCTAATCTTTGATGACTTCCTTAGGCTAAATTGTTAGAAGTAGAATTTCTGTGTCAAACATTATGCACATTTTTTTAAGACTTTTAATTTGCATCCCCAGGTTGTCTTTTGAAAAAGCTGTACCAATTACACTTTTACACAGGCATATGAGTGTATTTTCCTGTTTGTGACAAATACTTTTTTTTTCTTTTAACTTATCAACTTGCTGTCACATTCATATTTTAATTTTCATTTATTTCCCTATTTTTGAAGTTGGATTTTTAATGTATTTATGATCATTGTATTTAATAGAAATGATATTGACTAAAAGTGCATCGAACCTTTCATGAATGAAGCTGTCTTTGTAGACTGCAGGTGACTCATGGAGAATATTTTTTGCCAAACTTTGCAACTTCACTGCTGGGAAGGAATGGTTTAGAGCAGGGGTTCCCAATCTCTGGGGTCTAATGCTTGATGATCTGAAGTGAAGCTGATGCAATAAAAATAGAAATAAAGTACACAATAAAATGTAATGTGCTTTTATCATCCTGAAACCCTCCCCTCCCCAGTCTGTGGAAAAACCATCTTCCACAAAACCAACCCCTGGTGCCAAAATGTTGGAGACCACTGGTTTAGAGGTGGGGGAGTGGGAAAGTGGAGGGAAGAAGTTATTTCTTAGATTTGATCTCGTTTGTCTCCAACGTAGGTTCTTAAAGGTGGACAGGAAGCACCCACAAAACCCAAAGGTCGTCCCAAGAAGAACTCCATCCCCACATCAGAAGAGATCGAAGCTGAAGAGAAGCTGAACAGCCAGGTTCAGAGCCAGGAGCTCCGGGAGCCCTCCCAGGGCCTGGAGGGGCTCTGTGATACACAGGAACCAAAGGCACGCGGTGTCCCCGTGGAGGTGGCCGAGTCCCCAGGCCGGGCCCAGGAGTTGCCAGTAGCCTCTCCAGAACCCCCACCATCAAGCTAAAATAAAACTCTTGGTGGGGGGGAAGGGGGAGACTGGGAAGAAGGGAAAGAGAGAGGGCAGGGAGACCAGGGAGAAGAAAGCTGCCGAGAGCCCAAGACCTGGGGGAGAAGACCACGGCCGGCTCCCTCCCTCCTGCCCGTGGCTCTCAGCTCCAGCTTTTGAGGAAGACTTGCTCACCTTGGCCTGCTCTTCCTGAAAGGCTGCCTAAGCCACACAAGCCCTGACTAAGGGACACAGTGCCTTGGAACTGCCGGCCCCAGTGGGGGTGACGCCGTGGAGCTCTCCGGGTCCAAGCTCCCCCTGGCATGATGGGGGACACTGCGACCAGCCTCGGAGCAGCTAGCCATCAAAGCAGAGAGAGATGGAGGAGTGGGCAGCATGCCCAGGTTCCTTGCTGACTCAGCACTTATTTCTGTAGTTTTAAAAGAGAATTTAATGTTTTTGATTGTTGTTTTTTGGGGGGGGAGGGGTGGTCGGTGAGGGCGGGCAGATAAGAGTTGGGGGAAGGGAGTTTTGAGTTAATAGAATAAAGTTTGTTTGTTTGAAGACATGTGTGCCTTTATGCCCATTATATGGTAGTCAGGTGACCCAGGAACTGATAAACCTTGTTTTTCTCGCTTCATTCAGTTGCCATCCCTGAAGCTGCAATGCAGATATGTTAAGATAACTTTTATTTTTTAATTAAAAATAAATCTTTCAAAAAGGATGGGGTGTGTTGTTTCTTCCGGGGAGTGTATTTAGATATTCTTAAATACGTCCTATGGAAAGAGGGTGGTGCTAGTAATAAAGAACCCACCTGCCAATGCAGGAGACACAAGAGACTTGGGTTCGATCCCAGGTCTGGGAGGATGCCACATGCCAAGGGACAGCTCAGCCCGTGTGTCACAGCTGCGGAGCCTGAGCTCCCTAGAGCCTGTGCTCCACAACAAGAGAAGCCAGTGGAGTGAGAAACCCGTGCACCACGACTCGAGAAAGCCCACACACAGCACCAGAGCCTCGGCACAGCCGAAAATAAAGTTAAGAAAAAAAAAAAAAACTCGTAAGCCTGAGAGCTTGTAGTACACAACTCCTTCGACAGGACTGGATTCAAGCGTCATGATGGCCACTTTGACTTTGCTAAGGCCGTGCCTTCCCTTGGCCTTTGAGATCAACAAAGAGAAAGCAGTTTCTCTCTTAACGCGGAGGTAAGGACTTGGCCTCCGAAAACCAGTTCGTGCAGCCCACACCCAGCTGTCGGCCACTGCCTCCCTTACCTGAGCTCCCCCTACCCCCGCCGCCACCACCCAGGGCTTTAGGATCTGCCCACCAGGCGGTGTCCCCAGGGCCACAGTAAGCAGGTGAGTCCTGCCAGCTGGGTGTCCTGCTTGAGGAATCCTGTCCCGTTCTCCTGCCCCGGGAAGGCCCTCATTAGGACGCAGCTTTCTTAGGCTGGTTTTCGGTCTCCGGTCTGGGCTCTCACACTGGCCTTCTCATAGGTGTCTGACAGTGACCACCAGAGTTCAGGGAGAGATGGTTTCCCCCAGCCTGGCTCTGGGCACTGTTTCTGACTTCCAGCCCTGGGTTCCTGGCCCGTCATCTTTGGTATTGTTTCTTGGCCCTATGTAAGGGGTTTGATCCCTGTATTGGGAAGATTCCCTGGAGGAGGAAATGGCAACCCGCTCCAGTATTCTTGCCTGGAGAATCCCATGGACAGAGGAGCCTGGTGGGCTATAGTCCATGGGGTCGCAAAGAGTTGGACATGACTGAAGCCACTTAGCACTTGGCCACTTAGCACTTGGCCCTGCAGGTTGGAGGGGGTGAGTGGACAGTCTTAAGAGCTTGGGTTATCTTCCCTCCTGTTTTCGAGGCCCCGAGCTCAATGTCACCTCCACTGACCAGCCTTGAGCTTGTCTTCCAGCCTTTAGCTTGTCCTCCAGCCTCAGCTCTGGAGTTCAGCCCCATGGTCCAGAGGTGGGTCTGGGCTGGGCCTTTCCGAAGCCGGTGGGCACAGATTCAGGGGCCAAGTCAAGCTCCTTCGCCACATCCATCCTTCCCTTTTCCTTCCAGGTCTCGAGCCTCGTGACTGGCACCCAGAAACCAGCTCCACAAGTCCCTGGGGGGGACTGCCTCCTCTCTTTATCAGCAGCCACTGGATGTCTACATTTGAGGACGCTGCTGAACAAAAGCATTCTCCCCTCCAACATCCAGGGTGGTGACCCCTGAGGGTTCAGGGTCTTATTTCGGGGCTTGCTCACCTGCTGCCTTTTGTTTTTCAAAGGATGGAAGAGAGCTGAGTAAACTGACCACGGAGGGAAGCTGACCACACGAGATTCCTGCATCCCTGTGAGGACGGGGGAGTCTCTTACAAGCACTTGTAGCTGATGCTGCCCCTTGGGCTGCAATGTGGACTGTTTTTTCCAGTTTTACAGGAAGCTTATTCATTGGAGTGAGGTTGATCATCTAACCCTGGTCATGCAGCTGGTGGGGAGCCACACTGAGAACCAAACCTGGTGGGCTTCGTCCTTGCAGAGGGTCTCCATGGCTGGCCTGCCCTCTCTTCCCGCTTGGAAACCGCCTGCGCCTTCTTGGGGTGGTGGTGGGGAAATTGCTTCCAGCAGCAGTCCTCTCCTGCACACAGCTTCGTCCTAATGCAGGGTTGGGAGGCGGCCTCCTGCCTCTGCTCCCACCACCTGGATTCCCAGGGCAGGTCTCAGCCTCCCAGGGTGCCCAGGCCTGCTTGCCGAGCTCTGCATTCATGTTCTGGGGCATGGCACCCCGTGGCTTCTCCACGGTCTACAGAGGTCTCACCCAGCTTGACTCACACAGTCTCCCAATGGGTCACGCTGTGAGCTTTGAGCCCTCACACTAGCCCAGGCAGATCTATCAGAAACCAGCCTTAACTGGGCTGGAATCCAGTCTGTCTCAGAAACTGGTCAGTTCTAAAGCCATCTTAGAGAAGGGAGTCTGGGGACCTCAGTGATCTGCCCTTCAATCTGAGTATATATTCCCCTGCACTTCTCACATATTTCAACTTCATCGCCCGGCCTTGCCCCATGGCCTGAGCCGGGCTGGGGCTGGAACTGGACTGCAGCGCCGGAAGCTCTTTCCTCAAGAAGCCATGATCTGTCAGCCTGCTTACATGTTGTCCACTCAGCAGAAAATAACCAGGGACTTTACAGGACTGGGTTGAAGACTATCCCTGGGGGCTCACCTAGAGAGCTCCTGCCCGAGTCACCCGCTGGATGATTGCCTGAGCCCCTGGTCATTTTCTGTAGGTGCCACAGAAATCTTACCCCGTCATAGTTGAAGACCAGAAAGTACTGGGGTTAGACAGCTGAAATGTGCTTTACACACCCCCCCCCACCACACACCCCACACCTGTTTCTCAGCATTTCTATATACTGAATGCCTGTTTGTCTAAAGCGCGGGGGGCTGCTGCTCTGTGTCCACACAGACTCCCTGGTGGTCCTCTCTCTGCTTCCTTCGTGGAGGGAGGCGCTGCGTCATCCAGGCTTCCCCAGAGGCTTCTCCCTCCTCTTTGGACCCTTCCAGTCCCGCTCCGTGAGGCTGCGCCCCTCCCTACCCAGGAGACAATGTCCTCCTCCCCGCTGGCTCCCTCTCCCTTCCCCTCCTCCAGGACAAGAGTTTGAAGCCACGTCTTCGCGTTCTTTCATTAAGCTCTCCTCTACGCCAGTCTAACCTGTTCCTTCCTCTCTCCCTGCTTCCTTTTAATGCATCTTTTGTCATCATCATTGTGGTCCTGCCATTCTTCCAAAGAGCACACGTATTTGTTTGGTTTCCCTGTTAGAGCATGAATTCCTCCAGGCTGTTTTCCAGTTGATACGTTCAGAGTTTCTGCACGGAGGCTCCCAAGAACCACACACAGGCGCTGGAAGATCAGGACCTGCTGACACCGCTCCTGGCCCAGGGCTTCTGTGTTCTCAGCAGGAGGGTTGGTCTGGCTTTGCGCCACGCACTGCCTCTCCCATCACTGACCCCTGTTAGCACCTAGCTCGCTGGCGGCAGGGCAGGGGGCTGCCAGCACTTTTCAGAGACGAGAGAGAAGGCCGAGCAAAACATCTGTTGTCTGCAGAAAGAGTCCCACCAGCCAAGGGACATGGTGCTCGGCTGCTTCTCCAGGGACAGAGGCACTGGGTAGGGTGATGGGGAGCCCACTTGCTGGCCTGCAGGGCCAAGGGTCAACTCACCTCCATTTGGCTAACCCTTTGAGGGGAAGAGCATTGAAGCGGCTTTGAAGAAGAAACTCTTGGAAGATTCTCCAGATCACAGGCTAGGATGCAGCCGGCAGCCTGCGAAAAAGATGCATACAGAGGTATGTGTCTAAAGCAGAATTAAAATCCTATTTAGGGCTTCCCTGGTGGCTCAGTGGTAAAGAATCTGCCTGCCAGTCCTGGAGACACAGGTTCAATCGCTAGTTGGGGAAGATCACACAGGCTGAGAAGCAACTTAGCCCGTGAGCCACAAATACAGAACCCACATGCCGCCAACTACCAAAGCCCACACGCCGCCCTAGAGCCTGTGCTCCACAACCAGAGAAGCTCCTGCAATGAGAAGCTAAAGCACTGCAACTAGAGAGTAGCCCCCATTCACCGCAACTCAAGAAAAGCACATGCAGCATTGAAGACCCAGTACAGCCAAAAATAAATAAATAAATAAATAAATTTTTTAATCTCCTGCTGCTGCTAAGTCACTTCAGTCGTGTCCGACTCTGTGCGACCCCACAGACGGCAGCCCACCAGGCTCCCCCGTCCCTGGGATTCTTCAGGCAAGAAGAACACTGGAGTGGGTTGCCATTTCCTTCTCCAATGAGTGAAAGTGAAGTCGCTCAGTCGTATCCGACTTTTAGCGACCCCATAGACCACAGCCTACTCCATCCGTGGAGTAGGCTCCTCCATCCATGGGATTTTCCAGGCAACAGTACTGGAGGGGTTCCATAGCCTTCTCCCTTTAATCTCCTATTTAGACGCAAATCGTATTTGTAGCTGGTGGCGGGTGGGTGA